TATATAATTAATAAATTTGATGCATGTTCAATTTCATTCATTAAAGTCTGTTGATAATCATTTCGAACAAGATAATAGAATGATGCAAAATTAAATATATTTTTAGTGCACACCCACCGTGTATCCGGCTGATCCTTTTGATGCCGAAGAAGATGCCAATCTATTACGATCTGCAATGAAGGGGTTCGGGACTGATGAGCAGGCCGTATTAGACGTCTTGGCTCATCGCGGTATCGTACAGCGACTAGAAATTGCCGACAAATTTAAGACAATGTACGGCAAGGACCTCATTTCCGAGTTGAAGTCAGAGTTATCCGGAAACTTTGAGAAAGCCATCCTGGCTCTAATGACGCCTCTTCCCGAGTATTACGCCAAGGAGTTGCATGATGCTATTTCCGGCATGGGCACCGACGAAGGTGCACTCATCGAAGTTCTTGCATCCCTGAGCAATTATGGTATCAAGACGATATCCGCTGTTTATAAGGACCGTAAGTTTCAACGCAGCATATTTTTCAGAATTGATTTTGTTTTTTATAAGTCAGCACCATCTTATTCTTGTATAGAATAGGAATTTCATTTAAAAAAGTATATTTTTTTCTTTTTATACTGAAAAAGATTTATTAAATACATATTTCTTTAAATGTTACTAACAATAAGTCACTTATTTACAGTAAATAAATATTTACTTAAAAAAAATCAAATGAGTTTTTAATCAAATAAATATGTTTACATTTAGTAAATATTTACTCTAAACTATTCAAACAGATATTTATTAAAATTTAGTTTTTTTCCAGTGTAGTTTTACTTGATTCATACAGTTTATGAATATATTTTCAATTTATGTTCCTAGTGTACGACAAAGAGCTGGAAGATGACCTCAAAAGCGATACCTCCGGTTATTTCAAGAGGCTTTTGGTATCATTGTCTTGCGTAAGTAATTGATGTACAATTTTTCGCAACTGTTTTGTCAGTTTTTCTCTATTCTCTGATTAACGATCAGGCTAGTAGAGACGAGAGTCCAAACGTTGATGAGGAGGCCGCGCGTCAGGATGCCGAGAGGCTTCAAGCCGCAGGTGAGGGACAGTGGGGCACCGATGAAAGCACTTTCAATGCAATTCTCATTACTAAGAGTTTTCCACAATTGCGACGGATCTTCAAAGAATACGAGCACCTCACCGGAGATACCTTGAAGCATGCTATCAAGCGAGAATTCTCTGGTTCTGTCGAAGATGGCTACTTAGCTGTGGGTAAGAAATTAAATACAATAATTTACTTATTATTTATTTAGTAAGTTATCAAATTATTTGTTACTATTGTTAATATAATTATTATTCTTTTTTTTTTCATATATTTGTATATTTTTTTCATTGTTTTAAAATGGTCTTCTTTCAGTGAAATGCGCCTCTGATAAGACTGCTTATTTCGCGGAAAGATTGTACAAAGCTATGCGCGGAATGGGCACGGACGATTCGACATTGATACGCATCATTGTGACACGATCAGAGATTGATCTGGGCGATATTAAGGATGCCTATGAGAGACTTTATGGAAAATCTCTTGCGGAAGCTATCGACGTAAGTATAATATGTTAATTTCTGAAACAGTTTTACGCTATTTATTGTATCCATTACGTTTGCTCTCTTTATTGTATTTTATTTCTGTAGCAGTAAAATTAATAAGAGATAAAAAAACGCAATAATACAATATTGCAATACAAATAAAATACAAAATAATATTAATAATAAAACATTTAAACAGAATATTATTAATGACAAATTCTTCAGTAAATATAAAGTTAATTTCTTTCCTCGATTCACACAGATTTAATCGAAATCCAATTTAATTCCAGCACTTCAATTCTACGCTTTCATTCACTTAATACAACAATGCTTTATCTCCAATCGGAATGTTAAATTATATATTCACATAATTCCTTTACATTTGTATACTTATATGCATCAGCAGTCACTAAACTATAATAAAATAATCAACTATAATATTATAATAATCTATTAACTCACATATATACTATCTCTTAGCATTCCGTATAACTTTCCATAAATTTCAGGACGACTGTTCAGGCGACTACAAGAGACTTTTGCTTGCCCTTGTCGGATGAAAATATTTCAATCATGCAACAGATCCTCTTGTTGAAAATTATATTTCGATGTCGCGGAGATTATATAGCGCTTTATTGTATTCTGCAAAGATTAATTTAGTTTCTTATGTTTTCGTTAGTTGTTAATATGGTGAATATGGTTGTACTCGAGTTATAGATGTTTTACACTTGATCGGAGTGATGCTACAATACGTGTGTAAAATGAGTTACAAAATAATATAGAAAATCTGTACATCAAAACTATACACGAGTCTCTGTGAAGATCGATTGAAAATCGATCTATTGATTGGCTATTAGTAAATTATAATCATTAATTTAAACGCAAATTTGTCTTTCACTATACTAATTCCATTAATTAGTCCATGCTATTTTTGACTGCATGCATGCCTCTGTATATTAGTTGTATGTATTATTATAAATACATGAACATCATGATTTGCCTTAAATCGATGTTTAGCTTTAATTTTCCTATATTTTTTTTTGCATTTACAGAATGACTGCGGCGACGACTTTAAACGGCTTCTGATCGCACTATTGAATTAATGAGCTCGAGGAGAGAATTATTTTTGTTACTAAAAGAACCCAATCTCTCAGATATTTAACACAATTGTCAATAATCTAAAAGCATGTAAATGTAATGCATACATTTATCTCTAATAAATGTATATATTTGCAATTCTCAGCTCGTTTTACTGATAATGCGAAAAAATATCTCTGTTTTCTTTTCCAGAACGATTGCACCGCCGAGTGGAAAAGATTATTGATAGCAATGTTGAATTAAAGAGTACCTATAATAATACCATGCGAAATAACTATAAAAATAAGAAAAATAAGAAAAAAACAAAGAAAATGTTTGAAATAATACAGCATAATAAATGTATATTTAATATATATAAATTATTAATATAAATAAATATAA